CTCTGTTTTAAGTAGATAAATTTGGAGCCTCCTTCATCAAACATTGGGTTGAAAAAAAAGTTAGTGTCCTAGTTCTCATCTTTTGGTTTGTCCTATTGGAGGTGCTGATGAGGAGGGAATGGTAGGAAGAAACTAAAGAAAAGAGGTTGATTATTTTCTTAAAAGGTTGAAGCACTCAGTACTTAACATCTGTTCTGTAACTGGTAGAAACTGGAAGCCAGCACACAGTTTGAATTTGGGCTAACAGTAGGAAGACGTACTAGAAAATTTACTTACTCTTACCACCTCCTTTATTTTTATTGAGATATAATTCACACACTACAAAGTTAACCTTTTTCATCACCAAAATCGATTTTGTAAGGAATATTTTGATACTTAAAGGAAGACCTTTTAGAATTACATTACGGATAATGTGAAAATACATACTAGTTATATTTGTCTAGAATATTTGGTCATTAATGCACATTATAAAAGAAAATTTTCAGCTTTTAGCTTTCTCTCAATTTTTTTTTTTTTTTTTTTTTTGAGACAGAGTATCACTTTATTGCTCTCAGTAGAGTGCTGTGGGTCACACAGCTCACAGCAACCTCCAACTCCTGGGCTTAGGTGATTTTCCTGCCTCAGCTTCCGGAGTAGCTGGGACTACAGGTGCCCACCACAACCGCCTGCTATTTTTTTGTTGCAGTTTGTCTAGGGCTGAGTTTGAACCCTCCACCCTTGGTGTATGGGGCTGGCACCCTACCCACTGAGACACAGGCCCTGAGACAGAATGTTGTTTTGTTGCTCCCAGTAGAGTGCTATAGCAGCATAGCTCACAGCAACCTCAGACTCCAGGGCTCAAGCAATTCTCTTGCCTCAGCCTCCCAAGTAGCTGGGACTACAGGTGCCTGCCACAACACCCAGCTATTTTTAGAGGCAAGATCTTGCTCTAGTTTAGACTGGTCTCAAACTCCTGAACTCAAGTGATCCTCCTGCCTCAGCCTCCCAGAGTGTGGGGATTATAGGCGTGAGCCAGCATGCCTGGCCGTACTCCCAAGTTTTTGGCTTTTTTTTTTTTTAGAGACAGAGTCTTTATCACCCTCGATAGAGTGCTGTGGGTCACACAGCTCACAGCAACCTCCACCTCCTGGGCTTAGGTGATCTTCTTGCCTCAGCCTCCTGAGTAGCTGGGACTACAGGCACTTGCCACAACACCCAGCTAATACTTACATGACTTAGATGTATGAAACAAATAGCATACTATTTGGTTTTGGCACTGAGTGATATGAGCCATTCATTAGTTGGTATAGTGATTGTATATCATCTTTTGCTTGAGTTTCCTTTTGCAAAAGTTGGATAGTACACCAGACCAAAGGATTTCCTAGAGGTAACTGATACAAATACAAAAGATGATGTACGAAATACCTTTACTATTACTTTTTTTTTTTTTTATTTAAAGAGGCAGAGTCTTGCTTTTTAGCCCACGTCAGAATTCAGTGGCTGTTCACAGGCCTGATTGTGGCATACTATAGCCTCAAACTCCTGGGCTCAATTAATTTCCTTCTTCAGCCTTCCAACAAGCTGGGACTACAGGCATACTTGCGTCTGTGCCTGGTTCTATATACTGTCGCTATTTTTGAAAGCTATGTTTTTTTTAAATCTAGTGAAGCATAGCTGGTAGGATGTTTTCTATCGCATCACACTTTGCTGCATGAAATTGTGAATTGAGGGATATAAGTTAACCCACAGTATATCTGAATTGCTATAATATTATAGTATTATAGTAGTGTTATAGGTCATTTGTCTTTGTCCTAAATTTCTTTCCTGGATGAATTAGACATTCTAAGTTTTCCCCTTCCAAATATCTGATCCTACCAATTTTAAAAGTTTTACATTTCTGATAAATATTACAAGTTAAAAAAGATTGAATCCTGTTTAAGATTTGCGCTAAGATGGCACAAGTCTTATTTCATTGAATAACGTAACTATTTCTATTTGGGAGGGCATTTCATGTTTCCCTCTCTGTCTAGTTTTCCTTCTTTTATACAGTGTTACTCACGTTTGAGTTTCAGGATCCTTAGCTCCTAGAGGATGGAGACTAATTCTGTATTATACTCCTCTGGATGCAGGTACTTTGCACAATGCCTTTTGCATCATAGGTACTTGATTGCTACATATTTGAATTTAGAGGTTACTTAATTTAATGGCTAAAATTTATCTTGTGACTTATGAACAGGCTGTGGTTTCTACCTATTTGGTTGTGAAAGAGGCATTATTTCACCTCTATTTGGACAGCAGCTACATATGGTAAGAATATAGATAGTTTTCAAAATTATTCCTAACGCTTTTCCTGGCCCAGTTGCTCTTTTTATTTTGAACATCAAAATAAAAACAAAAGTGAGGTTAATGAAGAATTTATTTGGTTTAGATGTAAAAGAATTTAAGGGCTTTGATGCTCATCTCTCTGTAACTATAAAATTCAACTAGACTCCTTATCAGATTATGGGTGAGATAATCCATTTGGTAGAATCCAATTTATTTCTTTCGTGAATTCTGATTGTAGTAAGAATGTTGGAGATGGAGATGTCTTCAACACTAATAATTAATAAAAGAAAAAAAGTATGAGAGATGTGGTGGTTCTACTATAAGAAGAGTAAAACTAATTTTTTTTTTTTTTGAGGCAGTGTCTCTTTTCCCCAGATTAGAGTACAATAGTGTAATCATAGCTCACTGCAACTTCAAATTCCTGGCTCAAGCCTCCCAAGTAGCTGAAAGTATGGGCATGTGCCACTATGCCTGGCTAGTTTTTCTATTTTTTGAGGAGAGGCTATGTTACCCAGGCTGGTCTTGAACTCCTGGCCTCAAGCAGTCTTCCCTCCTTGGCCTTCCAAAGTGCAAGCCACTACACCTGACCTAGTATGTAATTTTAATGCTGAAGATTAAATGGGTAAAAGGTATGTTCGATTGGCGAAGGTGTGCCATTGTAGAATTTATGAAACCTATAAAATAGAGTCAGGATAACCTGGATATCTTACATAGATAGACATTATACCAGTGTAATATTGCACTGTTATGGTCAGAAAACACTTATATAGTGTTTTCTAAGATAAATTTCCCAACTCTTATATATGTGTAGGTATTCTATGAAAAAGAGTTCTGTGATCAAATAAGTTTGAAAAATGCTATTCTAGAATGATGTACTTTTACCACTTCTGTCTCAAAGAGGGATCTTTATGAGATAATGGGCATAAAGTGATGAAGCAAGAAATCTCTTCTGAGGTTGGCATTCAGACAAAAGATGATAATAAGATAATGCAGCCTGTCTTAGAAAGTTTATTTGGGGTACACTGGAGGTGGTAAGATTTGCTACAGGGGGGATACTGAAGAAACATTTCTGGGGGATTTTGACACAGAGCATTCATTCATGGGCTGCATCTCTCACCAGCCATCTCTGTGCTATGAGAATTTCATTATCTGAGGCTGAAAAAGTTGGTTCTCTTATTGAGCCCAACGTTATTTCTCTTATATTGTTTAGCAAACACTTACATGGTGTGTACTTGATACCGTTCTAAGCACTTTACAAATAGTAATTAGTGAGGAAATTGAGGTGCACTTCAAGTCATGCAGCCTAGGTAGTTTCCTAAGTAGTCTGCTTTTCATTTGAACTAGTATTGGTGGGGCTTTTGTAAATAAAACTATTCTAATAATCCATGGGAAGATATTTTTAAAGGTTAATGTTATAATATTGGTGTTCTGTTTTTGTTCATATAAAATATTTATCATAAGAATATGGTATCCCGGCTCCAGCCACATACACCAGAGCTGGCGGGTTCGAATCCAGCCTGGGCCTGCCAAACAACAATGACAGCTACAAAAAAAAAAAAAAAAAAGCCGGGCATTGTGGTGGGCGCCTGTAGTCCCAGCTACTTGGGAGGCTAAGGCAAAAGAATCACTTAAGCCCAGGAGTTGGAGGTTGTTGTGGAGGTTGTTGTGAGTTGTGATGCCATGGCACTCTACCCAGGGCAACCACTTGAGACTCTTATCTCAAAAAAAAAAGAATATGGTAACCTAGTCAATTAAGGAAATGCCATCAAAGATTTCTAGGGATTTAGCAGTGAGGTTAACAAGTGTACCTGTAGTACCAATAATAGAAATAGGAAATGTCATTTTTACCTCTGAAGAATCTAAGCTTTTAAGCATCAAGAGAACTAGTGGATAACTAAATCTGTTAGCGTAAAGCTGATGGCTTTAAACAGTTCCAAATACAAACCCCTTATTTGCAGATGAAGATTCTATATTGAAAACAAATTATGCCTCAGAACTTAATTAGTAAAATAAACAAAAACTTTCTCTGGTTTCAGCAAAGAAGAATTTACGTTTAGATGATGAAAAACTTTTGTTTTTGATGAAAAACATTTTTAAAAAACTACTTTTCACTTCTTTCCTTCTGAATTTCTGTTGAGAAGAGAATAATGTGTTTATTTTTTACATGGGTGAAATTTAGATTTAATTTGCTCAAGGGCTACATAGAATGACACTTTATTGAAATGTTTTTAGGTTGTTCTGTCTTTTGAGCTATTCCACCCAAATCTTTAATAAATATTAGATGAATACTCTTCTCTTTGTTTGTCAGATCTAATTCTCCTAAAGTCAAATTTTAGGAAATGCATTTTTTCATCATCTAGAGTTTTAGAGAGAATTATTGTCATATCATATGCTAAAGTATGGTTTATCACAGGAGGGACAATCCCAAGTGCATTTTTTTATGTACCACAAGCCAGCTAGTGTTTCTCTGAGCAAAGGAAATAAAAAATTAAAATGTCTCATTTATGCAACTTTAAATTATGGCGTGCTTTAAAATTCAAAATCTTTAGATTTTCGGTGATTTTCACATTTGAAAATATAAATTTTTAAATGCAAGGATGGTGGCTTCTGGTTAGACATTACCAGTATAAGGTCTAACATCAGCAAAAAATGACCTGAAAGAAAGTATTGATTCCATGTCTGATTTTATATTTAAGCAGCCAATGGCAAATGTCCTCAAAATGGAATCAGATGTTTGTAACTTAATACTTAAGAAAAATGATGAGTGCATGTTTTTTACTTTTAAGTATTCTCAGTGCTGCCTGGCTTAAGACATAAACTGATGTAAAAATAAATGACTGCCTGCATAATTTATGTAATGTCCTGCTCCTGATCCTGTTTGTATTGATTTTTCTAAAAGGCTTTTGTGGCCACAGGAACCAATCTGTCTCTCCAGTTTTTTCCGGCCAGCTGGCAGGGAGAACAGCGACAAACACCTAGCCGGGAGTATGTCGACTTAGAAAGAGAAGCAGGCAAGGTAGGAAACATTTCTTTGCGATTTAAAATACTGTGGGTTGTCTTATTAGAGGTTATCTGATGATTTATATATTAACAAAGAGATTACAGATTTAATTACATAGGCATATGATCAGAGTTGTTTTCATTCCATGTTAAAAGAATGTAATACAATTTTTTAAGATCTGTTAAACTTTAGATCACTACATTACTAATTTTATGAGCATTATATTCATCGCAGAAAGTTCTAGCCCTTAAAAAAATGTGTTCTCTTACATTTAACATTCAAAATTTAATTCCTTTAAAAGTGTTGACAGGGTATTTTTTGTTTACGAAAAAATACATATTTGTAACTACAGTGCTATGTAGAAAGAGGTAGAGAAAAATGAAAAAAGGTCTTGTAGGCTTTAAAATTAATAATATTTAGAAATAGCTTATGGGTAACTTTCTAATTCTGTTAGCATAGCAAATTAATTTTGAGAAAAACATTGTAAAAACTAACTTGGAAATACTTTTTGTTTTGAGGAAAAGTTTCTTGGAAAACAAACAAATGCCTTATAATTTTGATCTTGTAAGCTTAAAGATCAGAAAAACATGGGTGGAAATGTTCAGCCTGAGAGCTCTGTTTAAAATCTAAGTTAAATGTATTACATGATTTTGGTAAAATTTTGCTGAATAGTATCTTCAGTTGGTTGATCTTTGATCAAGCAGTTTTTAAAGGAAAAAAATACTTTTTTGGATCCAATTTTATATTCATTAGTTCTCCTGTTTTTTGTAGTATGTTTCCATACCTGTATCTCTCAACTTGCTAAATTACTTTTCTAAGTGTCATGAAGAGCATAACCTATCACTTCATTTGTAAAACATAAATGTCTAAATATTTTACTGAGAAAATTAAAGGATTTCTTTACTAGGCTGTTTAGGAAGAGGATTATTAACCTTGTATATATGCAATGAAGAATTTTTTTGTTTTTAATGTTTTGAAATTAGGTTTGCTCTTTTGTGGATGACAAAACAACTAATCTTCATATTGGAAGGTGACAAATGGATTATAGGATTTTAAAAATGAGTAATAATCAAGTTACTTACTTTATTATTATTATGTATTAACTTATTTGCTTGGAAATTAAAAGCACATGTTCCAGATTTTCTATTTGGTAATTCTTATATAGTATATAAGGAAGAAATTGGGTAGTTATTGTAGGATCATTGTGTTCTTTTGTCTTTTTGGTACATGTATATGTCACTAAATGAAGAAATTATTTTGTCCTTGTTTAGCTCAAGATACTAAAGTCGTAACCTGTATGAATTTGTTTTCCATTCCACTTTAATACAAAACTATTTCTTTTTATTTATTTTGAAACAGTTTCACTATATTACCATCGGTAGAGTGCTATGTTGTCACAGCTCACAGCAACTGCAAACTCTTGGGCTTAAGTGATGGGCTTAAGTGATTCTCTTGCCTCAGCCTTCCAGTAGCTGGGACTACGGGTGCCTGCCACAATGCCTGGCTATTTTTTTTTTGTAGTTATCATTGTTTGGCAGACCCGGGTTAGATTTGAACCCGCCAGCCCCAGTGTATGTGGCTGTTGCCCTAGCCGCTGAGCTACAGGTGCCGAGCCTTTTTTATTTTTTTAATTTAATTTTATTTAATTTTATTTTTTTGAGACAGAGCCTCAAGCTGTCGCCCTAGGTAGAGTGCTGTGGTATCACACCTCACAGTAACCTCTAACTCCTGGGCTCAAGCAATTCTCCTGCCTCCATCTCCCAAGTAGCTGGAACTACAGGCACCTCCCACAATGCCTGGCTATTTTTTGGTTGCAGCTATAATTGTTTGGCAGACCTGGGCTGGATTTGAAACTGCCAGCTCAGGTATATGTGGCTGGCTCCTTAGCCACTTGAGCCACAGGCACCAAGCCTATTTATTTTTATTTATTTTTATTTATTTTATTTATTTATTTTTGAGACATAGCCGCACTTGGTTGCCTATGATGCCCTGGCATCATAGCTCAGCAACCTGAAACTCTTGGCAAGTGATCCTCTTGCCTCATCCTCCTTAGTAACTGGAACTATAGGTGCCAACCGTAACACTTGGTTATTTTTTAGAGACAAGGTCTTGCCCTTATTCCAGCTGCTCTTGAACTCCTGATCTCAAGCAATCTACCCTGCACCCAGCCATGCAAAACAATCTTAAGTCTTCAAGATTGACATCTCAATGTTACTAAAGTTTTCCAGTATTTAATAACTAATAAATGGGTTGTTTAGTAGACAGATGTTTGCTTGAATTAATTTAATGGTATCTGTTCATTAGTTTAAAGACCAAATTATCTTTGGACTTAAGCCATTGAGATGTTTTTAATTATATGACTAAGAAGAATAAAAATGTTAGGTGGCTTATTCTAACATTTGTTAGTGTTGCTTAACAATGGGGGTATGTTCTGAGAAATGTTTCATTAGGTGATTTCATTATTGTGTCAACATAGGTGTACTTTAATAGGCCTATATGGTATAGTCGACTCTACACGTGGGGCTATATGTGATAGCTTATTTCGCTTAGTCTACAAACCTGTATAATATATTACTGTGCTGAATACTGTAGGCAGTTATAACACAATGGTAAGTATTTGTGTATGTAAACTTATAGAAGGTACAGTGAAAATATAAAAGATAAAAATGGTATACCTGTATAGCAGTGGTTCTCAACCTGTGGGTCACGACCCCTTTGGGGGTCAAATGACCCTTTCACAGGGGTCACCTAAATACATCCTGCACATCAGATATTTACATCATGATTCATAACAGTAGCAAAATTAAAGTTATGAAGTAGCAATGAAAATAATTTTATGGTTGGGGGTCACTACAACATGAGGAACTGTATTAAAGGGTCGTGGCAATAGGAAGGTTGAGAACCACTGCTGTATAGGGTATGTATAAGTATATACCTGTATACTTACATCAGATGGAGCTTATAGAACTGGACAGCTTGCAGGACTGACTCTGACTGAGTCAGTGAGTGGATGATGAGTGAATGTGAAGGCCTGGGACATTATGTACACTACTGTAGATTTTATAAATACTGTACACTTAAGCCACACTAAACTTACCGTCCCACAAAAGGAATTTTTGAGCTGCATTATAAATCTTGCGAGACTACCATCATGCATGTGGTTCATCATTGACTAAAATGTGGTTATATGCTTCGTGACTGAATTTAAAAGATAGTTTTTTTCATGGCGGTGCCCGTGGCTCAATGGATAGGTCACTGGCCACGTACATCGAGGCTGGCGGGTTCCAACCCGGCCTGGGCCAGCTAAAGCAAGGATGACAATAACAACAACCATAAAGAAAAAATATAGCCAGGTGTTGTGGTGGGCACCTGTAGTCCCAGCTACCTGGGAGGCTGAAGTGGGAGGTTTGCTTGAACCCCAGAGTTTGGGGTTGCTGTGAGCTGTGATACCATGACCATGGTACTCTACCCAGGGTGACAGCTTGAGACTGTCTCAAAAATACAAAAATAAATAAATACATAAATAAATAAATAAAAGATAAGTTTTTCAGATCTATCAGGAACAGCGATAGGACTGATGTAAGGTAATAGGGAATGTACATTTTATTAATGTTGATTTTAGAAGTTTTTTTATGTAAAGGGATAGACAGTAAATATTTCCATTTGGGGAACTTATGGTTGTCATAGCTACTCAACTTTGTAACTGCTTAACTTTGGTGTTGTAATATGAAAGGAGCCATAGATAATATGTAAACGAATGTGACTGTGTTCTAGGAATGGTAACATCTGCAGAAATCAGTCTCTTTTTCTCAGATATAAATCTGTAAATGTTTATGTATTTCTTAAAAGTAATTTTGCCCACACTTTTACTATACCAACAAGATCTAGAAGGAAAAAAGAGTTTTTTTCCAGAGGCAGAAACTTCTTTTTTTTTTTGAGACAGTCTTACTTTGTCACCCTTGGTAGAGTGTTGTAATGTCACAGCTCACAGCAACCTCCATCTCCTGGACTTAGGTGATTCTCTTGCCTCAGCCTCCCAAGTAGCTGGGACTACAGGCACCTGCTACTATACCTGGTTATTTTTTGTTGCAGTTTGCCTGGGGCTGGGTTTGAACCTACCACCTTGGTATATGGGGCTGGTGCCCTACCTACTGAGCCACAGGCACCACCCTCAAGGCAGAAACTTCTATTACATATATTGTTCTATACCACTGCAATGAAGTACTCTAATGATAATTTAAAGAAAAGGTACTGTCCTGTATTTTCTCATTCATGAAGCTCAGACTACAGGGTTCTTATTTCTCTTTCTTGTTATGATCTCTTTCCTATAGTTCTTAGATTTTATTTCTGTCCCCATTGGACTAGGACTAGAAGCAAAGAAAATTGAAAGAATTACTGTATCATGACCTTAGCCTAGCTCACAGCAACTTCAAACTCCTCCTGGAAGTTGTGATCTTCATGCCTCAGCATCCTGAGTAGCTGGGATTAATAGGTGTGCAGCACCACATCTAGCTAATTTTTCTATTTTTAGCAGAGACAGAGTCTCTTGCTTTGCTCAGGCTGGTCTAGAACTCCTAAGCTCAAGCAATTCTCCCATCTTGGCTTCCCAGAGTGCTAGGATTACAGGTGTGAGCTACCTCACTCAGCCCAAAAAAAGTATTTTAAAAATTAGATTGGTATAGTGGTGGGTAGTCCTACCTGCTCATAGGCTAAGTGGGAGGATCCCTTGAGCCCAGGACTTATAGTGAACTGTGGTCATTCAGAGATCTTCATTCAACACCTTTTATATGTACTGAGCATTGTACTGGGCACTTAAGACACATTAGTGCACAAAACAAAGATCCTATCCTACAAGTTGTTTTATGGGGTAAGTGGAGGAACAAATAATACATATAAGTTATATGTTACAAAGTGATAATAGCTGTGGTAAAAGGGTAAAGTAGTTGTTGAAAAAGGAAAAGGGTGATCAATGAACAGGAATGTTTGTAGATTTTTGTTTGTTTTTGGTTTTTTTTTTTTAGTATTTGTGTGTGTGTGTGTGTGTGTGTGTGTGTGCAGTTTTTGGCTGGGGCTGGGTTTGAACCCACCACCTCTGGCATATGGGACCT